GAGAGAGAGAGAGAAAGAGAGAAGTGTGAAATGGTTCTTTTTTTAATGCTAAATTGATATATTCTCTCTCTTGAAATATGCCCAACATATTAATATTAACTTTATTTATATACAAAGTTGTAGTAGATATGTCTACTACACAAAATATTTACAAAATTTACAGAATTTACATAATTTGTAATTTTTTCTCTTGTTTTTCTTACTTCTCAAAATATAGAAAAAGCATAAAAAAGATATTTACAAAAATAAATACACTATTGAGATTATAAATTAAATAAATGTATAAAATTTGAATACATCATTTGTACAATATATTAATGCTTTGACTACTATGAGACTTACTGGTGAGAATCAGCGCATTGTTGTATTTATACCTTGAGGAATGCTTTTCAAAGATGCTTAATCATTGATACAGTAGGCAATGCGCCCTAAAAGTGGCTTGGTAGTTAAAGTAATGAATCTACTATTTCATCGTGTGTTTTACTTTGTGTGTACTGATTACAATATAGCTTACATATAGCTATTACAATAGGTATTATACTAAATTCTATTATTTATCAATATAAATAAATTTTTATACCAATTAAACAGAAGCGGATCAAGAAAGGCGTCCATTTTGTGATTCTTCTTGCATTAATTGTTTGAAGTTGAATTATTGTGCGTGCAACGATTTCGATATGTATCGATTTCAGTGTGTATCGATTTTAGTGCGCTTGCGCGGGAATTCTGAAAGGAGGACGCGACAATGTAAAAAAATACAATATGGCAGTATCTAACACGTGTTTATGCATTCTGATGTATTCTGTTTTGAAACATATTTGATGTTGTGGTATTATAACAACCGATCAATATTTTGCAACAATAGATGGTGTGATAGACTGAAAAATATACGTTAATCAATTGTTATCCAACAATTCTGTAATTGTTATATCTATTATTCAGTCATAATGTCTACTGACAATACCGCTATTGTACATAAAAATTCTGATAAACAAAAGTTTCGAAATGACAAAAGTCGCAATACTTGGAGATCGAGACAGAAAGGTAATCTATCATTATTAAATTGTTTATTAATAATTAATATTTAATAAATTGCTGAAAAGAAATTATTTTTGTTAAGGTGATTGTCAGAGCAATTCTGACGGAAGAAACTTTAAACGTAAATTCGTACAATCACCACGAGAAAATGCAAAAAAGAGCAAACTGGATGTTGGCAATAGACTGAAAGAATCTGACATAGGAATTACAGAATACATTAGCAAACATATTGGCTTCTCCGCAATAATCAAAGAGAGATACACTGATTTTCATGTTAATGAAATAGATCTTGATGGACAAGCAGTCAAGCTTACTCATCAAGATATTCCACAAGAGCCAGATGATGATAAAAAGATAGAAGATTTAAAAATATTGATATCATCAACAATATGGGACCAACTGCAAGTTCTGAAAGAAGAAAATTTTTCAAATATAGAAATTGATGTAACAGATATTGATAAAAGTCAACGCAGAACTGTTCATATAATTGCAAAAAAGTTAGGAAATGTTATTAGCCAAACAATAGACAAAGATAATAAAAAATTTATCACAATTGTGCCAAACACTAAAATTAATAAGAGTGGTAAGTTATATAAACTTGTTTATACAGATCTTTATATGATTATTCTTAATATATATTTTGTTAAATTAGGTCAAAATATACGTCAAGACAATAGAATAGATTGGAAAAGACGCGGTGGTGATTATTGTCACTTCCTGTTGCATAAAGTGAATATGGATACGATGGATGCTTTAAATCAGTTGGCTGTGAATTTGAGAATAAAACCAGACAACTTTAGTTATGCCGGTACAAAAGATCGTCGAGCATGGACGACTCAGTGGGTGAGCTTAAGGAAAGTAGATCCCTCCAATATATTGAAAGCTGGTAAAAGAATACGCGGTGCATATGTAGGGAATTTTAAATATGCTAAAGATGGCCTGAAATTAGGCATGCTTCATGGTAATCAGTTTAGGATAGCATTAAGAAATGTTTGTGGAACAGATCAAGAGATTGAACAAGCAATGACATTGTTGCGTGATAATGGTTTCATTAATTATTATGGCTTACAAAGATTTGGTACAATATCTTCTATACCCACACATGAGATTGGAAAATGTTTGCTTCAAAGTAATTAGTAATATTTTTTATTATGTTAATACTTTAATGTCTATATGGCAATCATATTTTTTATTTATTTTTTTTTTAGGTAAATGGCATGAAGCAATTGAATTAATCCTGAAACCGCGAATAGGAGAACAGGATAAAGAATTAGCAGAAGCTAGACAAATTTATGCGGAAACCAAAGATGCTTATGCTGCTTATGCTAAGATCAAAAGAATTGATAAGATTGAAGCCAGGCTTTTGAAAGGCTTACAAATATCAAGCGATAAAAATCCTTTAGGCGCGCTTGATTCTGTTCCTCGAAATATTCGATTAATGTATGTGCATGCTTATCAAAGCTTCGTTTGGAATCATATTGTGTCCAGAAGAATGAAGCAATTTGGAACGGATGTGATGGTTGGTGATCTAGTTTATAAGCAGCAAAATTGTAAAGAAAATATAATCAACGAAACTACGGATTATCCTCTGAATGATGATGACGATCCCAAAGATGAAACTAATGTTATTGGCGAAAAAAGTAGCGATGCAGTGGCAAATGAAGTAAATGAGGATAATTCAGAGCAAAATGATTTCCCGGCGGTAAAAATACTTACAGAAGAAGATTTACCAAATTATACTCTGGCTGATATAATTATGCCTCAACCTGGATGGAAAGTTATATATCCACCATATGCTAAAGCTTGGTTTGACGAATTTTTAGCTAAGGACGGATTAACTGTTGATCTTAGACAAAAGAACAAGTAAGTGCTTTTAAATGCGGATCTTTAATATTGCAATAGATTGTTATAATCCTTTGTTGTATTTTTTAGAAAATACAGTTTGAGTGGTGCCTACAGAAAAATAATAGAAATTCCAACAAATCTGTCTTGGAAGATTATGCATTATAAAGAAAAACATGATAATCTTATTTTATCAGATATTGATGAAATGCGAAAACATAAACCTCCGCAGGATGAATCGGGTAAATTATTTGTTACAGAATTATTAATTGTCCAGAATATTAATTTCAAATAATTCACATTTATGTTCTACTATTTTCAGACGGAAAAAATAAAGCATTGATTATAGAAGTGTGTTTAAAACCCAGTACTTACGCTACAATGGCCTTGCGTGAAATTTTAAAGAATGATACTTCAGCAGAAACACAAGCCGCTTTATCTGCTTCTCATGATGCAGAAAACATACAATCTAATTTAAATGAAGGCAGTAACAAAGACTTGGTAGAAATTGAGAAAAATGATGAAGAAAACCATGTCAAAGATGAAGAGTTTACTGTAAACAAGGATGATACAATGAAAGTAGATGAAATAGAAAATATTTCTAAAATATGACAACTTATTTGGTAAAAAATAATTACCATAAATATTATCGTAAATAAACCATTATTTTAAAACATACATTTTTTTGTAAAAAAAGAAATACTAGAAATAAGAGTAGAGACGGGACAAAAGTAGATGTTTAAATTAATTGTTAATTATATTCTGCTTTGATAAAAATAATGCAAATGAGAAGTTCTTACTGCACAATGCACTTTGCAAAAATTTGAGAAAACGTGTGTTGCCAATAGATTAATTTTATAAAATATAAATTTTTATATTTTTTAATTAATAATTGTTAATAATTCAATAATTGTTAGTTTTATAACAAACTAAAATTAAAAACTTTAATATTTTAATTCAAGAGCTATGTTTGCGATATTAATTACGATAAAATATAATTTGACAGAGATAATGCAAACTAATTTTAAAATAAACGTTCTTATATCAATTTTATATTCATTTATCAATATGTTACGTCTTTTTCAGTGTCCGAAATATGTTTTTCTTATAGTTTTTGCTCAGATACATAAAATTCTCTCGATAAATACATACAATATTTATCTTTTTTTTCAAAGTTAAGATTTATTAGAAAATGATTGCTAATGTCTACAGACAAGCAGCCATTAAACCTGCCACATTCTCGAAATCAATCTTTTCAGTAATATTTTTAGTCTTGATGTTTTCATCTTGATTTGCAATAAATATAATTGTTTTGCTCTCCTCTTTCCAGCCATATTTCTTTACCCAATGCTTCAATGTTGCATCTGTAACAAGGTGTAAAATATAATAAGTCTTATCATAAAATATTAAATTATACAAAACAAATTGTTAAATGAGAAAATCATACCATCTACACCACCAAGTAGTTGTGCCAAAAGACTCTTATCTATTGTTTGAAATGTGATTCCAACTACATGACATACAAATTTTCTTATTGAATCCTGAAAGCCTACAATTCTGTCACAAAATTCCGACATAGATATCACCCGATCCCAAAAATGTTGGAAGTCACACCGCTCCAAAATGTCTCCCAGATACATGATTTGACTAAGGGGATCTTCCGACATCTGTAAAAATTTACATAAATGCAGAGGCATTCATCTGAGATTAATAATTATTCTATATTGTTATATAATAAATCTTACAAGTTTCTCACTCAGTAGACATTTGCACAGTACAAAGTCAGTATGTGGAAGATTTGTTAAGGCTTTTAGTAATATCTGACATGTAATATCCATGTTGAATCGATGCGGATTTAACTGGTAGAGCTTCAAAACAGCTAAGTTTGCTTCCAAATCGTAAGCATTCTCTCTTGATTGTATCTCTACATATTTTTCCAGAGTTATGAGGTTATCTGGATTGTACCTAAAACAAATATTCTGATGTAATATATCAAGAATATTTGGTTTATAACTCATTACAGGTAAAAATATATTCTTTTCAATGAATTTTAAGATTTTATTCCTATGAAATTATACACCGTTAAACAATACGTCAATATTCTCGTTGGAAAGACTATGCATGTTAAAGAGCATTATAAAAAAATAATACCTTTCAATGCCTTTAAGCATTCCAGCTACAGTCTGACGCATTGCCTCAGCCATTTTTATTAATATAATATTTCGAACAATAAATTCTTGTCGAAATAACCAAAATGTATTTTGGACACTTTAACCTCAAACTGCCTCAAACGTGGGAGAACGTCAAAAGCATAAATTATTGTAGGCATAGAGAAAATAGAATTGGATAGAGTGGAAAGTTCCAATTTTTGCGTTACAGGAACACATGATGATAAAGAAGCTCGTACGAGAGTAGTGCCATCTTTTGATCAGCTATTACAATGACAAGAGCGTTTTCGACACTAGGAAAAATAATACCGTGGAACTCGGATAAACTACAATGAACTGCGGTAAACTGTCAAGCAAGTTTGAATGATTGAGTGCTGAAAACATTATTGAAAAAATAAACGTTGTTATATTTATTAATTGTTTCAAGGCTGATTAATAGCATTTGGAAAAAATGGCCAAGCATCATCCAGATTTAATATTTTGTCGTAAACAGCCGGGAGTTGGTAAGTTGAGGTTAAATCTAACCTTATCTATAGTTTTGTTATGAGCTAAATGAAAGTTAGAAGCTGTTTAATTAAATTAAAATAAAACAAAAATAATAATTGTTGTTATTTTTAGCTATTGGTCGGCTTTGCGAAAAATGTGATGGAAAATGCGTCATTTGCGATTCTTATGTGAGACCTTGCACATTAGTTAGAATATGCGACGAGTGCAATTATGGTTCTTATCAGGGACGTTGTGTGATATGCGGAGGTCCTGGTGTATCGGACGCATATTACTGTAAAGAATGTACAATACAAGAAAAAGATGTAAGTTTGCCATTAATTCTATAATCATGGTTTATATATAATAAGTCATAAATCGAAAATGTAAATTGAATATTCCAATGCATGTTTACAGAGAGATGGCTGTCCTAAAATAGTTAACTTGGGAAGTTCCAAGACAGATCTCTTCTATGAGAGAAAGAAATATGGCTTCAAAAGAAGATAATCACATGACAATTAAAACACTATTTATAAAGTTTTTGCTAAATACAATCTTGTCAACTAATTTTTACAAAAACATTACTGTAGCAATTCCATTTTGTATTATATATCATAAGTACTGATTTCATAGTAAATTTTACTCTCTCCAAACAATGCATTGTAAACTTTAACAATTAAAGACAAATATTCTGACAAAAATACTTTGTAGATACAAGTACTATTTAAACAGTTTATTAGCTGACACAGTTCAGTAAGACTTCCTCGGCAAAGAATTTCTAATAATAATTTGTGAATTATAAAAATTACAAAGTAAAAAACAAAAGTAGACATTAAGATACAAGAAAAATAAATTTCAATATTACCATTTTCATAAAATTGCAATTAAAATAATAAATATATATGCAGTATAGTATATAATCTCTTAAATGTAAAACCACAGGGTATGTATAATATATAATATAAAAATATATATATATATACATTTCAAGAGACTATCTTGTTAAAAGGATGTCAAACTTAAGTTAAAATTAACGGTGGTTCTTCCGAGGGTGGTAATTCGTTTGTTTCTTGTGTTTCAACAATTTGTCGTTTTATAATATTTCCTTTCTCATCGACTTCATCAATAGATATTAAAATATTAGATATAACAGGCATAAAATTACCAACATTGTCCTCAATTTTTTCTTCTTCAGTGACCTGTAAATTTTCCATCTCTTCTGTGTCTTCTTCGACAATCTGCAAAGAACGTAATATAATCTTAAACGGAATAAAGAGTCTTAAATAATACTTAAATCATGAAACTCACATTTACTTCCTTCATAGTTGGATTCAGTTTTATTTTATACGTCTTGTACGATTTGTGATCCGCTTCGTCGATGCGCAATTCGTTTTCTTCATCCACAGCCTCGTATCTCACCATCTGAAGTCTGTAACATCCGTCTTTTTCCTGCGTATAGTGGAAGCGTTTATGACCGTTAGGCAGTTGCAGTTGATGCGTTTCTATGAGATGTTTCGTCAGTCTGTAACTCTTCCGGTACTTAATCGGGCATTCGTGGCAACAATACCACCGCTCTGCTAAACCATGTACCCGCTCTATGTGTCTGTAACAAACAATTTCGATAAATATATGTATAAATCTATCTTATTACTAAAAGTTCCAATGATTACCTATCCAAAGTGTAGGCTCCTTTGCATGTGTAAAGACATCCCTCAAAGGTGCAAAAAAAATTCGGACCATTAACATGAACAGTCATGTGTGAGTCGAGATCCTGCTGCGACTTTGCAGCGTGTGAGCACAATTGGCAGGGAAATGTTCTGGTCGATACATGTCGGTATCTGACATGTTTCGCCAAACTCGCCGGCGATTCGCAGCTCATGTCACACAGGGAACATTTGTAATTGAACACGTGAGACCTCATATGGTCGCGTAGAATCCTCTCAGTCGGATAAAATTTATTGCAGTGTGAACACTGAAATCCCTGTACTGCAAATCATGTTGTGTATATTAGAAGAGGATAAAATGATGTAAGAATAATTTCAGAGATGTGTAATCAATTTATTACCTTCTAGAGGAATCTGCCGCTGGCAATGTGTATGAAATTTTGTGTTGGAAGCAAACGTAGCACCGCAGTCCGGGCACGCGACCATTTTCTCTTTGGTGTGACACCTCATGTGTTCCCGGAGCTTGTACAAACTGGGATACTTGCCGTTGCATCCAGTCCACTTGCACTCGACTCCGCCCTTGACTTTATTGCCACGCGGAAAGTCCTCTGTGTGCACAGTGATGTGATATAGGAACATTTGATAGTTTGTGAACATCTTCAGGCACTCCTCCCACCGGCACAAATGTGGAGGTGGCGAATCTATGATATTCTTCCAATCCGAATCTCTGTAACATTTCTGCAAGTAATACAATTTTTATTCTTTCTGTTCCATCAACAACCAACGATATAAGATAGGTTTACTGAATGAATGCTAAATAAATATTTACAGGTAACTTGGTTCTTCTACGAATGTTGGATCCAATACATTTCAGTTTGGTGTGATAAGCATGGTAGTTAATGTGCCGTATTACTTCATCGCATACATCGCTGTTATACGGACAATCTTTCCACTGACACACATAGACCTCGTTATCATCTTTCATGCTTATCTGTACATTCGGTATGTGACTAGAAACATGCTTCAGAAATTTATCCATATGATCACTGCGAAACGTACATTTCTCCCATTCGCAGGCAAGATCCAATACTTCATTCCTCAATGGTGTTCCAACCTTGCGTCTCTTGGCACCACATTCTGAGACCGAATCGAACTCTGATTCCGTGTTGAACCAATCTTCATACTCGGTCTCCTCCCTCAGCTTTCGCTTAAGACTATCTTCGTCAGAATAAGAATAATCCTTCTGTGATTCTACCCACTTGCTGCATCTTTCTTGCACCACCTTGCTCGCTATCAATGGTCTCTCTAGATCCGCCATTGTTTATAAATATATATCCACGTAATTCACCTGAAATATCATTTACACATTAATAATCTCGAAAACAACAATTGTACATACATTCAAGGAGCATTTGAACATGCCGCCACGATGCGACGTGGAATGGCGAACTCAGCAATGAACCGACAAAAATGATTAGTTTTACAAACTGTACGAGTAAATAAAATATTCGTCTCAACATTTGACACCGTTCCATGTAATGTTATCTTCAATTCGAACGTGCGGAACACAATGTGTATGATTGCAGTCTCGCTGTGACCACGAGATGCTACAATTGTTGCTTCATCGACTACTCGCTCGTTGTTGAACTCGCACCGATATTTATTTCCACAAATAACGCAGGAGTATTTACCTCGTGTATGCTTCCGTTCCAAGCATATCCAATGTTCTTCCACGAGTGTCTGATCCGTGGATTTCTTCGGAATGCAAAGACTGTCGCATCGCTCGGAACGCGTCACCCTGCTGCCAGTTCGCGCTCAATTAACTATTCCGTGGATGATCGTAGAGGCACGACCATCTGCGCCCTGTCTTCAGGTTGTTGTACTCTTATCTCCAGATAAGCTACCACGTTTAAATTACACTAACATACTAATTTTTCCATTCACATTTCTCGACACTTAACCTACGAGCACCATCTCATGGTTCGAGCGCACTTTCCCGCCTGTCTCCCCTCTCTCTTCGCCAAGATGTTTTATAAAGATTAAGAACTACATTATGTATCATAAAATTTATGCCTCAGTCTTGGTTTTTTTTACAAAAGAACCAAGAGCGTATAAATTTACAATTTAAAAAATTTATTAGCATTCTGAATAAATTCAAATGCATTCGATTCAGGCGTACGTTACGTAAACTTGTAGCTTCTTTAAATAATTCTTACGCGTTTTCGAAAAATGCTAAACTTTTAAGAAATGTGTCCTATTTGCAACATAATTATTTTCGCAGCTTTAATTTTGCTCTTCTATTTCTTTTTTCTCGATGTATTACATGCAGATATATTATATATTGAGATATATGAAGAATCATATAATATAAAAATGAACATATTTTAAAGGACATGGAAAATGCGGCGTGGCGGTGGTAAGAATATCAGGAAACCGGTCTATGGAAGCGTTGAAAAAGATGACAAACATATCAAAATTGGAACCAAGAAAAGCTTTCTTACGGAAGATACGCGATCCTGAAACAAGAGAAGTCATTGACAATGGGCTTTGCCTGTGGTTTCCCGGTAAGCAATATTTCCGTAATATAATTATTCAATTAGTCTTCACCATCTAAATCTATAAATTGAACATGCATTGCAATATTATAAATAGTTAACATATAAAATTTAAAATAACAGAATGCAATTATAGTACAGTTGTTCAAAAGAAATTTTAAAGCTGCGACAAAACATATTTCTCTCGATGAAAGGGAAAGAGCTTAAGAACTTGGGGCTATCCTAAATCGTATGATTGACAAAGCTTGATTTTCAGGTCCGCACTCGTTCACCGGTGAGGATTCCGTAGAGTTCCACGTGCACGGCGGACCGGCGATCCTGACGCGGCTGATGCAGGCCCTCTCGGATCTGCAGGTGTATCCGGCGTTACCGGGCGAATTTACTCGACGCGCCTTCTACAACAACAAACTGGATCTGACGGAAGTGGAGGGTCTGGCCGACCTGATAGAGGCCGAGACCGAATGCCAGAGGAAGCAGGCGCTGTTGCAGGCCGATGGTGTCCTGCGCAAGCTGTACGACAGCTGGCGGAAGGTCCTCTCGGAGTCCGTGGCGAGCATCGAGGCGTACATCGACTTCGGCGAGGAGGACAACATCGAGAGCGACGTGGTGCAGAATGCGCACCACGCTCTCAGGCAGCTGATGCGGGATTTGGAGGAGCACCTGGCCGACGGCAGACGCGGCGAGATTCTACGCAACGGCGTGAGAACGGCGATCGTCGGTGAGCCCAATGTGGGCAAGAGCAGCCTGCTGAATCACCTGGTGCAGCGAAACGCCGCCATCGTCACGCCCGTTGCCGGCACCACGAGGGACGTGATCGAGCTGAACGCGAATATCTCGGGCTATCCTGTGCTGATCGCAGACACCGCCGGCATCACGGAGGACACCGAGGACATCGTCGAGGCCGAGGGCGTCCGTCGAGCTAGGAATTACGCGAAGAACGCCGATTTCGTCATCGTCGTGGTGGACGCGGTGAAGTGGACAATCAGCGGAATGACATACAAGGATTATATGCGGGAATATTTGTCGTCGCTGCAGATGCACGAGCTGTTGGCGAACCTAGGAAAGGAGCGTTTCATTGTGATAATGAACAAACGAGATTTGCTGAAAGAGGAGGATAAAGAGCGCTTCAATGATACCGAAGCGGTTTCCATATCTTGCAGGACGGAAGACGGCTTCCAGGACTTGCTGCAATCGCTAACAGATCGTTTCGGTAAAATGTATGTGTACAATACGATGTAATCGATACTGACAATTTGATTATAACGATATCTTGTTTAGATGCGGCAGTCCATCCGCGGAAAGTCCGACAATCAGTCAGGCAAGACATAGGAATCATCTGACGCAGTGCTTGAGGCATTTACAGAATTACTTCGAGTTGTGCGCGGACGAGCAGCACGACATGGCCATAGCGGCGGAGGAGATTCACAAAGCGTTGCGGGAACTCGGGAGGATAACGGGACACGTCAGCACTAACGAAATATTAGACATTATATTCAAGAATTTTTGTATCGGCAAATAACGACCTGCCTTAGAGACGCCCTTCGCACTTCTTTGCAGGATATTCTGTAAATTTTAAGATGCGAAATGTATAATTATAAATAATATTTGTATTATATCTTTACAAGCTATTTGCATCCTTTGGTATTACACATGCGTGATAAGCGGGGAAGATCATAATTCTAAAGATACAACAGTACTTTCCGACTTTGTTATTCTGGAAGATTCTGGAAGTGTGTAAAGCGGAATTCGTATATATAAATATATAACTTACAAAATTCACGGATGAAGAAACCTATTTTTCTTATCGTTATTAACTTTGAAATAGCGCTAGCTAGAGATAAATCGTCGCGCCATAAACAATCTTCAGCCAGCAATATTTTCACATAGAAATCGAAGAAACACAAATTGAAGTTTGCGGTGTCTATGCGTGACGACAGCGTAGAATAAAATGAATAGGAAAGAGCCTTCATAAGCATCGTATGTTTATTAACAATACACGCACAATCATACATAGAACAACCTTTTGCCTGATTATAAGATATCGATAGCCCGCGCTATACAGATAGGGCTACGTTATGTGGTTTCAAGTCGTTATCTGTATGCCATGTCCGTGTTATGTGCTAATTGTATCGTTATTATGACGTCATCATAATAACTACTCGCTCTCGCAAAAGAAATAATTTGACTTAACTTTGTAAGAAAAGCAAAGTAACTCGATTGAGAAGAAAAAATAGAAGAAAAGAAAAAAAAACAAAAAACAAATCTTAGAAATAATCGCATACAAAAATTACGTCCTTTTTATTTTCGGACGATTTCTTATATATATATATATATTATATATATATCTTACAATAGTGTGATATTCGGAATAGAGATCGAGCTTCTCTATATTAGAAAAAAAATACCAATTGATGTTTAACTAATACAATTGGTTACGAAATCCATTATACAATTATTAATTGATTAATTAACTCCATCACACAATGCAGGTGAAAAATAAATAACACCGTATGTTTTTCTGAATTTATCGTAAAAGTAAAATATTAGCGCTTGCTTTTACGATAAATTCAGAAAAACATACGGTGTTATTTATTTTTCACCTGCACGATGAACTTTTTTTCCTCCTCTTTTTACCAATTAATTTAATTCTATAAATACACATGATACGTTGCGGATTTATTGTTTTCGCTGTCGCGAACGAATTTATTATCAATACAGAATGATAAATAGATAAATCAAAACTAAAAAAAAAAAAGAAAAAAAAGTAGAATGAAACAATCTGCATGCACAAATCGATTTATAAATCGATAATATAAATCGTTCGTTACGCGGGGTTCGTCCCACGCAACAATTCGTCTTTCCTTCATCTGTTTCTTCCACTACAAACCCAAAGTGAAACTCTCGAAGAGTAAATTGATTGTTTGTACATTTGCATAGAATAGTTTGAGATCTTATCCGAAAGCAAACTAACTCGCGCTACACGTTCGAGACGCATTTCTCATCGCGGAGCACACTCGCAATTTGTCTCTCTTAATGATCTTTATTATTTATCTACATACAACATTTGACATTTTTCTTTCCTGGTTTTTTCCCAACCTTAGAAAATAAAACGCAGTTCAAAAAACAAAGTCGGTACATTTCTACCTTGCTGTTTTGAGATGATCTCAATGTACAGTCTCGTAAAGAAGCCAGGAAAAATTATATGTAAGCAAAAAATGAAGATCCTGTGAGGAGACAAGTCGCGAGCATACTTCGTCTTATTATTTTTATTTTTTTTTTTGGTTGGTATAATATGAAAAATCAGAGTAGAACTTAAGGATTAACGCGAAATCCAGTGAACCGCACTCAAACACGATATGAGAGATCTTCTGAATCGTTCAAATGTATCCATAATCGGCTCTGAACCAAGCACAGAGTTCTACGTATTTAAGCAAAATATTAAATATTTAAATATATGTATAATTTTCAATTGATTGATCGATTTCATATGACTTATGTCTTTCGACTGAAATTTCAAATAAAGCTTACTGCAATTTCTTTGAGAATCAATTATAAAAATCCATCAGAAGCGTAATTAGCGCGATTACATGCGTAAGCTCGCGAATAAATTCGGAAATAAGTCGGACAGACTTATGAGAGACTTAGCTATTAAATATAAAAATAGGTAACATTTTAAAATTATTTCTTAAATATAACAACTAAATGTAAATTTTTATAATTGCCTCTTAAAACGCAGTTAATAAACCTTATGTGAAATTTCTATTATGTTGAATGCTCGAGGTGTCCACACATACCGTGGATTTATGTTTCCATAATATTTATATTTTACCGAATACAGAATTTTGCGTTCGATTCAGAATCGATTGTTGATAAATGCGGGCGATTAAGAAGATCCTTTACACCGTGAAGAATACGAACGAGAAAAGAGAAGCGAAAAAAGTCTGTCGAGGATCGAGTCGAAGACTCGTCAGCTCCTTTTCTCGTCCCAATGTGGTCCATGAAAAACCTTCCCCGTGTCGGAGGAAGACGTCCGTTCCCGTTCATTTACATTCGTATTCTATCCAACGCGTCCTTTGTATAATAGTGGAGAATTTTCAAGAAAAGAAAAGCGAAAGTGTGAAAGGTCTGTCGTGGATCGGATCGAAGACTATTCAATTTTCGCTCGGTTTCCTTTTCTCATTTCTGCTTGGTCCACAAAGACCATCTCTTCTTTCTCAAACAGAAAAAATACCAAGCAGTCCGCTTTATTCGTTTCGAAACGTATATTTGATTTTCCGACACAGTTATTAAAGCCGTGCATCGAAATATGCATCTTTTTTTTTTACAAGACATAATCAGCTCTTTGATTTAGAGAAAGTTGTATTTAATTTAATAAATCGCACGAAATATAACATTCCACAAAATCAACTCTGATTATGTTTCACAAAAAAAAGAGAAAAAAAAAGAAGAAAAAAAAACCTATCGCCGATGTAATAACTGTATCGAAAGTCGCTTGCACACTTTAGAAATATATCTGCCTTGATATCGGAGTCAGGCAAGGCAACTTTTCGAGAAATCCGAAGTAATCGCAAGTGATTATACAGGGGGAAGTATCAGTAGAAAAATCTGTCAGAATACAAAGATATCGTAAACTGAAAATCTCATGCTACAATGTCACAGACAATCGTGTCGGAATTAGCTTTGTCTCGCGAAAATCTTGAAACAAATCAACGCATCTCTGAAACCGAAACGACCGACGTCGCGACCGGGTCGCGACGCCGGTCGTTTCGGCCGCGAGACACCGGAATCAGTTGCCGATGGCACAAATCGTTTATTTTTTTTTTTTCTCCATACGGAAAGGAAAGTCGAGATTGCATTTTATCATCGCTCTAGCGAATGTATGTCTATACACACATACACATTCTATACTTTGCATGTAAGTAATGCCTATTTTCCAAAGATATACGTTTATGAAAAAACACACACTTTCACAATCACTGAATCACGCGGGCGACTCCCTCTCATGCGCTTGCTCCGACCGATCTTCTCCACCCCCCCCCCACCCTTTTTTCATAATTTTTGTCTCATTCACTCGATCCACGCGTTTCTGTAATCCCCTGCAAATAATCCCCTCCTGTCTTCACGGATTTTGTACTCTGGACACGCAAAGCGCAAAGCGTCAAGGCATTACAGGAACACGCTGCCGCTGAAAATCGCACGTCGCCCTCGAGGTGACTTTCGAAGAAGGTGTGCATACACGATTTCTTTTTCTTTTTTTTTTTTGTGTGTGTACTTCTCGCCGGTTTCCGAAAAGCTAAGATTCGATCGCGGCAACGTCAATTAGCACCAATTTTAATTTTAAGCACGGATACTTTCGAAAGTGCTTGAAAATATTCTAAAAGGTACCTTAGAAATTGTTTTGTTCATCAGAATTATAGATCATCATCGACAGATTTATCGTGAGATTGATAAAATTAGAAATTTTTAGAGGAAAAAATTGAATTGAATCTAGTAACCAGTATTAATCGGCGTTGCTGTTATCGTTAATAAGACTTATAACGCTAATGGATTTCTCTAGCTTATAGTGTCGCTTTTACAGCGCTATGTACAAAAGAATACTTTCAACAGTGATTTATCGAAATAGTATTGTAAAAACTCTTAAACAAACTCAAAATGGCGTATGCACACGCAGATGTACAACTTTACGCGGGACATAAGATTGAAAATAAACGCCGATCGTAAAAAATTAAGATCACGCCGCACGTTAGTGATACAACGAATCATTCTTCGAGGTCCGATCGCATCTGCAATCGCGGTTCGGCTAATCCCGAATCAGCGAATTCCCATCCTTCTCGCGCGACTCTCGTCACCGGAAACAGACGGAGATGTGGAATTCGGTTGAACCCGGAGTTAGGACTGACGGAATCGCCGGATGAAATCGGCCTCGTGCTGATACTTACATTACTAAATTCATACTTTGTTTCAGGGACCAAAGGGATATGTCACGATCCGTGAATACAACGGCCGGATCGACTAGATCGGAACAATCGAATTCTTCACGATCGAGCCGTCTCGAGCCGTTCGACGCGCCTCGCGTTGCTCTTCTTAATGCTCGCGATGTTACTCTTTTTCATTTAGTATAAAAGTCTCATCCGGTGACATGTCGATTGGTACGTAGGCAAATTCGAAAGTACGACATACACTTCGGTACACACTCGGGACTACCTTAAGACCTCGACATGCGTACGTTTTTTATTCTTTTTTAATGAGGAAATCCTTAACGATTAAATCCTTACACGCGTATTAATATGTGATGCTTATGAGTTTATGAGCTACCTATACTAAAGGAAAAAACATACACCACTGAAAGATTATATTTTCCTTATATCACGCGATCACGCGTTTATCAGCTATACTCGGATCGCCGCAAAGCTACGTTTTTTTATTTATTTTCTTTTTTTGCACTGTGCATACGCTTAGTGGAGATGTAATGTGTTTCGCGATAAATGGGAGCAAAAATTCTACGCGTCGCTCTACACTTGGTAATAAAAATTTCTATATATCCCTCCCCCCGTCGCGTCTGCGCTTCCTTTCACTCCCTTCGTATATAATCTTTCTTCTCCTACGCGCATTCAGGCATCATTACACCACCACCCCATATACAAATAGTGAAGCACATTAAAAACATAGCGGTAAGCTAAATATTAGGTATGTAAGTATTGGAAAACTTCCACTAATTCTATGCAAAGTATAGCTTGTAGAATATCATTCATTAAAACTAGGACTTACACGAGATAGTGTAACAAGTAGTGTGATAGTGTTACACGAGACGGTGTAAAATTACGACTGTCGCGATCGGGAGCAGTGTGGCCTGCCTTCGATCGGATAACCTTTCGAGAGACATAACAGTCGTAATTTAGGTACAGCTTCGTAAATAGCGTGTCCTCATATCGCCCCTTCCTAAAGATACACGCTGCATTACATTACATTGTAAAATTATAGTTGAGCTCAACTCACTATGCCCTGCCGTGTCACATCGAATGACGGAAACGAGTCGAAATCATCGTTTACTGCTTTCCCACGTCTTAGCGAAATGCATCGTTTCCAAGTGTATGTGTCAGCACATTGGTCGACACGTCGCGCGAAAACTCTCAGGGATTGAAATAACTTTCGTTGCAGCTTTCGCGTGATGTAATCGGTGCCAATAAGTCGACAAATTTTGCGTGCACACACTTGCGAAATGATCGGCACAATAATAACGAACGCTCGAATATTCTACACTTTTTCTTTCACCTACATCGTTTCGCGAACCCTAAAAAGAAGTTTGCAAACATTCAATATTCCTCTGTTAATCGATTTCAGCGTGAAAACTATTTTTAATTTTTTTAATCTTATTTTCAAAGACCTTTAATGCAGCAATAAATATTCAATAAATAATTAATAAATATTCGACGAGTAATTGATCACTCATCACAAATATCAGAAAAATTGTATTGTTTTAGAAAAATTTCCTTCAAAAACCGCGAAGGACGAATGTGGATGAAAGAAGTACAGAATGTTCGAGCGTCTCCAGATTTCTACCGGTTTGATAATAGAGAAATAGTTTGACGACTTTACTTGTTGAATCGCGGCGGTCTCCTCAACCGTGGTATCAGTTCCGTCCTGACAGCCCTGGCGTAATTCGGCGCAGCGTACTGATCGGTCACCGCAATCGGACTCTGAAGACTCTGTATGAACATGGACGAGTCCTGTATCTGACCTACGCCCGCCGCCGCCGCCGCCGCCGCCTGATACTGGTACTGGCTGCTGGTCATGTCAGCAGTCGGGTAGTGATTCGGTTGCACAAACTGCGGCGGATTTTCGTACTGCGGATACGGTATCGAACTCTCCGCGGAGAATTGCGGCATCACCGGGTTCACGTTGACCGGTGTGGTGGCGAAGCTACCAGGATCATAGGTCTGATACTGATTCAGCTGGCCGATCTGCGTGGTGTTGAACGGCGGCGATTGCGGAAATTGCGCCGCGGTTTCGGAGAACAGCATGCTCGCGACTGTCGGCTGCGGGAAGGAATCCGGTCGCGGATACGGCGAGATGCTGGCGGTTACCGCGCTGCTCAAATTCTGCACACTCGGCATACCGGCGGCGATCGGCGAGGTGCCGTATCCGTGGTACGCGGTCTGCGAGCGGCTAGTGTGATCCGCCAAATCCTTCACGCCACCGCTCTGCAACGAGCTGCTCATAATGTTGAGCTTGGATTTGACGCCGCCAATCGATCCGCCGCCGATCGTCTCGCCGCCGTGCTTGGTGCGCGCGTCCGTCAGCAACGGATGCCGCACGTTCACGATGCTCTGCGGGGCGCGCAGCGGCGGAAAATTAATCGGCGCCATCTTCGACATCGAGTTCTGCTGTTGCTCCAGCGCTTTGCGCGCGACTGCGAATGCGCTGTTGCTGTCGGTTCTCTGAGAAACGGTCGTGCTGGATTGCGCGTACGTACTGGACGGCGTGTGGTTCTCCCTGTGCAAAGCCGACGTCGGGGCCGACGATTGCTGCGTCGCAAACCTCAACGGCAGATTGCCAGCCATCCCGCCGCTGCTGTTTCTGCTTTTGTAATCCGGATTGCTCACCGGTTCCTTATAATCCAACTGAATCGGATAACTCTTGATGTTCGAATCCGCTTCACCTGGAAATTTCTTCGGACCGGCGTAATCCTTCGGACTTTTCACCGGATTCTCATGCGTGGTGCTATTCACACAAGCGCCAACAGATCTTACACTGCTAAAGGTAGAACTACTGGACTGCTTCGCAATCGACACGCTCTTGTTGTGTGATTCACTCGCAGACTTCAGATTCTCACTGTTGCCGTCATTCTTTTTCAACGAAGAGTTAATTTTACCGGCGATCGAGTTTCCGGATGTAGAGATAGCGTGCAAACTAGTATCTTTATTACCCATTGCTGCCCTAACCGACAGTTTGGACGTTCTGCTCTTATTTCCTATATGCTCTAACTTCTGTCCACTCTTTCCCTTGTCAGAAATCTGATTGCTGGTCGATAATATTTTGGTGTCCGTATTGTTATTCTGATTTTTAGACGACAAGTTATTATGGGGCTTGCAGTTGTAAGTGACAGCTGGCAGGAGCAAAGCGCTGGCTCACTTCTTGGTCATGATTTTGAGATATTCCAGAGCATTTTGAGCAGCACTGGCTTGAGCGTCTTTACTAGTCACACCGCAACCATAGCAAACTGCCACTGGCAGTGTAGACAGTTGCACAAGGCACTGGAATTTACCTGTCAAATAAAGCAATACAATATTTAGAACTACAACATTATGAATGAAATAAAATCAATTTTATTTTTTAGCATATATACGACATTAATATTAGAGACAATCTTGATAAAATTTTAAACTAAATTTCTATAAAAAGTTATTTGCGTCACGATTCATGATAATATGATATCAAAGGTCATAGATATCTCATACGTATATCAGTAAACGTTTCTCATGATGTTGTGGTGTTTAGTACAGTATAGCCAAATAAAAAATATAAATACGGACGTACTTGGCGCGAAATATTGCCTATAAGCGATGTATAAGCAATCTATAAGCAGTGGTACAAGTAACAATATGGCAGCTTTAACATCAGCTAAAAGTGTTTTGAGAAAAGAAATCAAGGATATTCTTATAAACGTTAATTCGGAAGAAAAAAGAGAACAGTCCGCAAATGTGTTTAGAAAGGTGAGCCTGGGAAAGATATATAAATCAACAATCTACTTGAATCTGCTTGAAGAGGTTATGTTCTAATGAAACAGCATGCTAAATGGAATTGTAATGTTCACAATGTATACAATTTTATCAAATTATTATCGCATTATTTTACAGCTATGCGCATTGAAACAATATCAAGAGAGCAAAAGAGTTTCGTTATATCTGAGTACAAAAGATGAAATCGATACTGTACCTATTTTAAAACATATTTTTGATATGGGAAAGGAAGCATTTGTACCACAATATCGTGGAAAAAATATGGAGATGGTAAAATTGAAGTCAATAGAAGATTATGAGACATTGCCACTAACGAAATGGAATATTAAACAGCCAAATATTGTTGACTGTCGTGAAAATGCATTAGAAACAGGTAAAACAGATAAAGCCTAACGATATCAGATAATAAATTTTAATTAAGCTTATTTCTAACATTTATTAATTAATAATAAATTCCGTAAATTTTATTTTAGATGGATTAGATTTAATAATTTTGCCAGGTGTTGCTTTCACTAGAAATGGTAAGTTTTGCTGAATATTAACATCTTATAAAATTTTATAATAAATAATAATTGACAATGCATCTTTTATTATCATTTTTTTTTCATTATTATTTTATTACTTATTAGGAAAACGTTTGGGACATGGAATGGGATATTATGATAAATATTTAAAAAGGTGTTTTCAAAAACAAAACACAAGGCCATATCTAATTGCAATAGGATTTAAGGAACAGATCCGAGAGGATATTCCTACTAATGAAGATGATGTGGCCGTTGATATTGTACTTACTGGATGATAAATGTAATATAATATAATAAGAAAATTTGTGATTTTGTCTATAAGCGAATAAAACCTTTCTTATATATTTTGAACTTACCACTGATAGATTTTTCTTCAATATCAACATAAGTTACTTCGAACTGCTGCTCTGACGCAATTTCTTGTAAGAATTGTACCAAATTTACATCCCCGTCATTGAAACAAGTATTCTGCAACAAAATCAGAATAATTTGCAGATAATTCTAATTTACAGATATGAACGTTTTGCATATTAATGAACACTTTTTCTTGTAGAGAAAACAAAAGAGCATATATCGGAACGTTAATTCTTCTACTCATCAAATCTGAATACAAACCTGCAGTTGAAAAAGCTTAACACCTGTGGATGACTTGAGACTCTTGTGAAATTTCGAAACTTGGACACTATGCACTGTTGACAGTGTCGAGATTTTGCTACCTTTCAGATCGGCATAACGGGCGCTCACGTTTGTATTTCTTTGCACAATCTATAATGGACAATTAATATACATGTAAAACTCTTTGTTAAGCATATAAGTGACAAAGAATGCTTCATTAATAGCTACTTCACGTTTACATAAAAACTTAAATGAAGTGGATATGACCCAAGCGTGATTACTTTCAAAATAAAATATACAAATACACGTTAGTCGCACATTGAAATATGATACATATTACCCAAATAATGGTCCGTTATAGATTTAAACAGATCGGAAAGATAGCTCACAATGTTACCGAATGGCGTTAAAGCCAAAATCACTTCCACTTCTCTAAATACACGCACCCATATACACACATACATACACGCGGGCGTGTGTGCATACACACAACAAACACGCATACATATCAGGTATTCTAACACATATATATATATACATGTAAACTAAATACCACCACCAATCAATGCCGTTAATTCTTTTCTATTGTATATTTCATAACTGTCATAAAATTTGTATCATCCTTTCGGTTGCATGTCGCGTCCTACTTTTTTTTTAGCAAAATCCATGAATTTTTTAAGACAATGTACGTTATTACGTTATTAGCTCCAAAATATTTTTAGGGACATCCATAACTAAACGCGTTACCGCAAGGAATTGAAATGTACAAATTTTTAAAACAGCGACAGTAATAAATGTTAAATATACAATATATAACGAAATATCCATTTTCTAACAACAATCAACAAAATGAGAAGACAAGTTCTTACCTCATCCTCGTCCACAGAAGGAGCTTGATTGTTCATGTCATGCAAAGCTTGCCACATCTTGTGAGCAGCATGTCTCTTGGCGACCTTTTTACTCTTTCCCTGGCCGATCTCGCGATATTTTAGGATTGTACAAACAATAGTGAATTGCCTTTCATGAGGTAAACCTTCTTCACCTTCCATTGTGTATTTTGGCGGTGGCCAATGACGCGACATACACATTTCTTGTAAGGCTCCAATTGGGTTGTTTACTACCTTCTCTTCCCCATACGACTGCAGTTCTTGTAAATTTTGGGAGCTACGTAAAAGCACATTATTGAATAATTTAATTTCAAGTACTTTGAATGTAGAAGTTTAACTCGCGACAAGCGATATACTTACTCAGGTAAACTATTTGGAAGTGGAGATTCTGCAGATTCGGTATTAACTCCGATTAATTTATCGAGTACAGCTTTTGCGGCGGCGTGTTTTGCTTCCTTCTTGGACCTGCCAGTTCCCATTGCTGAAACAATTGGATCTGCTTCTGAATAGTCATGCACTTATCAATTAATATGCTCCCTGTTGCCAGCTAAAATAAATGTACAACAAATATACGTACCAACAACATCAGCAACGGTGACTCTATATCGAAAAGTAGGCTCATGGATAGCTCCCTCGATTTGGACCAGTTCATACTTCGGTATTGTGCCTCTACGAGAAAGTAATTCTTGAAGAACAGAGACAGGTGTCTTGCTGGGTAGCGCCTTCATTTCCAACCGCGCTGCCTCGTGTAATGGTAGTTTCTCTAACATCATCGTATGTAATGTTACGCGAACTCTATTACGACGATTCACATTGTTCGAATGATTAGGAACGCCACCCACGCCAGCCATCATGTTAGGCCCAACCTGCTGTGGTTGATGCATTTCCTCCATTGTAAAGATCTGAAATTGTAGATATTAATGCCTGTTTTAATCTTTTTTTCAATGTTTAAAAATTAAAAATGAAACGTACAAAATCTCACGTAAATAAAGCATTAAATTCAACAACTTTCTATCATTCTGATATCATCTAACAATTTAAATATGTAAAAATAACGTTCAAATATCCAATAAACTTTATCCTTGTCCGTCCTTATCTGTATTATAATCATATATATGCCGTACGTATCAAAATCACGACGCTTGTTCCGAGTTCCAATCGTTATAAAAAAATAATAACATTACATCAGTAAACCGGAGTTAACGTTCCAACGACAAAGAAGTCGAAGTGAGATGTTCATCTATGTTAAACGCGACGAAATAACGTCTCATTGAGGCAATAAACGATATAATAAAATCGTGAGAAGACCGGCATGGCCGCCATGATTGTTATAGAATCCATCGATTGGAGCATAATATAATGTCGCGAGGGAAAATGCGCGTGACATTCGCCGGGGTCGAGACCGGCAACGAGTTGTCGTTGTTCGAAAAATGAATGTACGATATAAATCCGATGCTGTGCCGCGGCGACAGCAAACACAGCACATACCGAAGCCGTCGCCGCCGTCGCCGACCGGCATAACACATCGTCCGCTGTGCGGTTCGATCCGCGAAGCCGGAGTGAACGAAACACGCGTCTTCACTTACAGTTTTTCGGGGGAGACGTGCTACGTATAATAGTTCAGCTGGCTCCACGACAGGCCAATTCCTATGCGAAAAGCGAATCCCGCTTTTTGTGATCGATCCAAGTCTCACAAAAAGCTTGATCCGTTTGACGACAGAAAAATGGTTCACTGGCTAGCGGAGAATCCCTTCCTCGTTCGCAGCTCTGCGATATCTGTACGAATGTGTCCGCCTTTGTGTATGCGTCACGCGGAGCGCGCCATGGTGCATGTGTGTATGTAGTGTGTGTGTGTGTATGCGCGTTACACTTGCGCACCTTTATTGCGCAGATGCAGTCGGAAAGTGCTCCGGAAATACCGACACTCGATAAACCGTTGCTTGGTCGATAAAAAAATTGCTTAATAGTGTATTTCTATGCAACGTTAGAATGGCCAACGAGGACAAATTGCAATCAATTCTGATTGGCGCTGAATGCAATACAACAGCCAATCAATCTGCGAGAAAAAAAGAGAGAGATTTATATGCACAAGCTCGTCTGCGTTAAATAGTGCGTTTATGGCGTCGCTCTTCCCTTCTGCGTCATTTAATCGGATTCAGTCGAATTCGCGTTCAACTCGAGTTCCGTATGTGAACTATCGTCAACTATTTATATTCCAATAATAGTATTTAATAACAAATCGAAGAATTCATACGAAGAAATTTTAAATATGGGTCGTTACAGAAGGTGAGTAGATTGAAAGTGATTGCAGTGAGGAATATATATGAAATAGGCGACGAATCATCGAGGGCGCTACTTATTTTCAACACTTGCACGATTAAAAACCACTTGCAGTATGCAAGCTTGTTTTTATTACAATATTTTTTGGAATTCTTTAACAAGCAATTTTTCCACGATTTTATATCTGTTTGCGAATAAAGTGATGCGTGCTTGCTACACGATGTATGCCTTTTGTGGCAAAACTTTCAGTTTACTTTCTCTAATAGTCATAAAAGAAGTAAAATTTGAGTTAATTACATTTACAATTACATTTACTTGTTCCAGTCGTAGTCGCGATAGAGACAGGCGACGTAGATCGCGTACACGCTCGCGGAGTCGTTCACCACGAGATAGGAGAAGCTGGGGTGGCAGCGGAGGACGCGACAGACCCTCCAGCAGTCGCAGCAGTCGTGGGCAACCTGGTGCGAATTTAAGGAAACCACGATGGGATCTTAGCCGGTTGGAACCCTTCAAGAAGGACTTTTACATCCCTCATGACGCAGTTCAAAACCGGGATCCACGCGTTGTTGAACAATACAGAGTGGAAAAGGAGATCACACTAAGGGGTAAAAGTATACCCAATCCTGTTTTCGATTTTGACGAGGCAGGTTTCCCGGATTATGTCTTGAAAGAGATCAAGTAAGCAGCAGATATTACTCTAATATTTATTCTAATAGTACAATTTTCTAATTTATTTGTATCTTACATTTTAGAAGACAAGGTTTTAGCGAACCTACGTCAATCCAAGCCCAAGGATGGCCTATTGCGTTAAGCGGTCGGGATATGGTGGGCATTGCATCAACAGGGTCTGGGAAAACTTTATCTTATATATTGCCTGCAATAGTTCATATCAACAGCCAGCCGAAATTGAGTCGTAAAGACGGACCTGTTGCATTAGTATTAGCGCCTACGCGAGAACTCGCCCAGCAAATTCAACAAGTCGCTGATGATTTCGGTCATTCGTCAGGGATCAGAAATACTTGCCTGTATGGTGGCGCGCCAAAAGGTGCCCAAGCTAGAGATCTGGATGGTGGCGTGGAAATAGTCATTGCTACCCCTGGTAGACTGCTAGATTTTCTCGAATCCGGAAAGACAAATCTGAAAAGATGTACATATTTGGTGTTAGACGAAGCTGACAGAATGTTGGACATGGGATTTGAGCCTCAAATTAGGAAGATTATAGAACAAATTAGACCAGACAGACAGACATTGATGTGGTCGGCCACGTGGCCTAAAGAAGTGAAAAATTTAGCTGAAGATTTCCTTAAAGATTATGCTCAAATCAATGTTGGTTCTTTGCAACTCGCAGCAAATCATAATATATTGCAAATAATTGATGTATGTCAGGACTATGAAAAAGAAACTAAGTGAGTATAGCAATTTTGATCGATTTTACTTTCATTTTAGTATTAGCAATTATTAACAATTTTATTATCTATCTAGCAGAAACGCTTCTATCTATCTAGCAGAGGATTATTAGCAGTTCTGAAAAAAATATTAATGCATCAAATTTTTATAGATTAAGTACTCTATTGAAAGAAATAATGGCAGAAACTGAGAATAAAACCATAGTATTTATCGAAACAAAGCGTAGAGTGGACGAGATAACGAGGAAAATGAAACGTGACGGTTGGCCAGCAGTTTGTATTCATGGTGACAAGACGCAGCAAGAAAGAGATTGGGTTTTACAAGGTATGTATGTATAAATTGTAATAAAATTTAAAACATTTTGATGAAATATGCAAATATATATACATACGTTTATGTAAACTTTGTAGATTTCAGATCTGGCAAAGCACCAATCCTTGTTGCTACCGATGTTGCCGCACGCGGTCTTGGTAAGTAATTAAAAGTTTTCCATTACATCATAACGCAACGTTGTATTATCAGTTTTTTTCCTGCAACACAGAAAACAAACTGATTAATATTCACGGTATTAATTTTTCCCCAAAATTATAAATTTTTTTTTTTTACAATGCTCTATTCTGACCGAAAGTTCTGCAAATTTTAATTCCGCAATGTAATGTTCCGTTAAAAGCCTGAGCAGAAAAGTATAGTGCAGTTTTACATGCAGTTTAATTTTCAAAACTTTAAAGAATCTTTATGAGTATAATTTTGTGCTCTGTAAGCTGGAATATGTAAAAGTGTTAATCTTGTATAGCCTTTAATGATATTAGAGTCGCGTGTATCGATGCTGGAGAAGAAACCAAATGCTTCCGTCAAAGTTGCGTAAGAACAAACCTTGGTTTAATTCAATATGTCAAGTTAAAAAGTTTTATTTAACATACAAAACCATTTATATACAATGCTTGTTAATTATACATTATATTCAAGTTCAGATGTGTTCTGCGAACGGGACATTACAGTTTTAACGCGTTGCAAGTTGAAAGTCAAGAGATCTAGAGGAGGAATAGGGCACAAAAGAAGCAAGCAAAAAAAAAAAAAAAAAAAAAGAAGCATATTGAACAGGAGGATGGCTGGAGGTAACCATACAGCTAACGCGGTTGGATCTTTGTTTGTATTGCAGAGGCACATTGCGCGCAGGCCCACGCTGGGTAATGCAAAGCATATCGGGGGTGCCCGCCGCCGCTCTTTGTTCGGTGGTGCACTGGTTTGCATTGTCTGCGCTGGCCGCGACGCCGTGCCTCTATCCGTCCGTCCGTCAATCGCGTGTGAAGGGCCAAGTCTCGGGCCAAATCGGGATCTACTACTACTCTACTACTACTACTACTACTACTTTACCTACCTACCTACATACTGGATATCAGTCCTACTGCGCTGCGCTGTACGCCATCCGGGCTGGCTGGCCAGGTCGTTGTTGCCAGAATAGAGTCCCCTGCGCTGGCACGCTCAAGCTAATCAGACTACCAACAACGTTGGTCCGTTGAGGCGGTGGCATGTGATAGCAGATATGCCAGAGCCTCTGTTAGCGCGCCCTGCGCCCTGCGCCTGTAGCGACAGAGTGGCGGAGGCAGTAGCTGGAGCGAGCGCAAATAGCCAGGCCCTGCCCGTACGTTGCTAGCGAAACACTCGCCCACTGCCTTATATTTTAGTATTATATAGTTCAAATTTAATTAATCGACATACCATACACTCATACACATACATACACACAAATACGAGTTCGTATACACGTATATATAATATATAAATACATGTATGTAATACATGCGTCTGCCTGTATAATCCTCTTGTTAGATATGATATCTGTCAAACTAATTGCTCATTTGCCTATGTATACGTGTATACGAAAACGTAACACCCACACATACATTCCATTTTGATCTACCCAAGTCTGTTCCTCTAAATTTGTACATTTTCTGATCCTTCGTCCTTCTAATTCCCGTGACAATTACACCGTACATCAATCGCATCTCATCATACTAACTACTGTATCATGATCTTGTTGTGCCACGATTCTGGTCTCTTTTTCTAGATATCGTTGAAAAAAATTTCGAATCGGAAAAATACATTTCCTGTTTTCCTGGAAAATTCATGATAAGATACGAGCATACGTCAACGCGATATTTAGAAAAGGAAGATCAGGATCGTTCTTGGTTCAACGGTTTGTTTTTCTTTCATGGTCTTGTGCTGTATGATCTTAAGCGCTCTCTGAAGAAATATAAAAGAATACTCTCTACTCAATTAAATTGTAAAAAAAAAACATTAAGCAATCGTTGCTTTCAATAGAATCCTTTACAACCAGTATTTTTCTATTATTATTAATACAAAAAGCATCGCGATAGAGCACGAATTATCACGTAGCTTCTTGGAGAGCGTATTGAACGTTATGATTTTCCGTAATTTACGTCGTCCGGTAATGATTTGCGGCGTTTCATTATCTTCGCGACACTATTACCTATCTTAACCCATGTCTGTCCTCAATCAACCCAGAAATCTCGCGAAGGACCGGCCGACTAATGCAAACTCTTCATTTCAGACGTTGAAGACGTCAAGTTTGTCATCAATTTTGACTACCCCTCCTGTTCTGAGGATTATGTCCATCGTATTGGTCGTACCGGGCGTCGACAGAAAACCGGCACGGCGTACACCTTCTTCACGCCTAACAACGCCAACAAGGCTAACGATCTCATACAAGTATTGAAGGAGGCAAATCAAGTAATAAATCCAAAATTATTGGAACTCGCGGACAACAAGGCCGGTGGTTATGGTAGACACAGAGGTATTTCTGAAATCATCATTAAAGAATATATATGATATAACCAGGGCTGGATGTACGATTTTGTGGCCCCTAAGCTATGATCTTAAGGAGGCCCCCATCTTATTAACAAAAAATACATTTTTTTTAATCTTTTCTATACTAAGAAGGCCCCTTTATAATGTGAGGCCCTAAGCTGTAGCTTATCTAGCTTATGTGTAGATCCGGCACTGGATATAACTATGTACATATATTTGTACATATATATTATATATATTGCATAAAATTGATTGGATTGACATCGACAGGAGGCAGAAATCGATGGCGGTCGCGTGGCGGCGGTGGAGGCGCTGGCGGCGGCCGTAATGGAAAAGATCGCAGCTACTCGCGAAGTAGAAGTCGAAGTCACAGCAGAGAACGCAACGGCCGTGGCAGTCGGCGAAGCTACAGTCGTAGCTACTCGCGCAGTCGTAGCCCCGTCAGCAACCGTAACGGTAAATCGCTATGCTACTCGAGGGACTATTAATCCCGCCGATCTCGATAACTAACGAGAAATCATTTCTTCTCAGAGGTGATCGGCAAGAGTTACTGGAGTAGCGAAAGATGATCTTCCAGCGGCAGATAAAGCATGTATTACAACGCAGGTAATTTTTGTTCACACTCGACAAGAATCTTGTATGTCGTAAAAAAAAAAAAAAAAAACCGTTGAAATTGTCGCGTTTCAACGAGACCATATGTTTCGCCCGTGATAAATTATTTATACCGAACTCGTTGGGATGCGCTATGAAACGTTACGAAATGTATAACTCGATCTCGGCAATTTTCAATATGGACGCAGCATTGTGCATTCCACCGAATTCGTTGATTAGATTTGTCGTGTAATATAATCAACGGTTTACCGACCACGTTTACACAAATCTCTTAGCTTCAGTATACTGATCGTCGCTATCTTATATAAGACAAATCTGTACGCGGATATGCTTGTAGGAACATTTTAAGTGTATTTGGACGGTTAAACGAGCCAAACTTCCTCTAAAATTAACTCACCAGGACCGAACTGATCCTTTATCGTAGACTTTTGCATTTTTATTCGAATGATATATGCTGCAATAAAAATATCATTTTAATCAATAAATGTAATGATATTTTCATTCGCATGTTTCGCACGTCGTTAATAAGAGTGAGAAAGCAATACAAGAGTACTAATTATACAAAATTTTAGCTGATTAGAAACAGAAAGACTTGATTATTATATTTGATAGGATTAACTATGTAACTAATCTGCAATAAAAAGGACAGTCAATTTTAACGGAGTCAATTTTAGAGGGACTTGATTGCTATTTACTCAATGATAGAAGGATGGGATTGATATCTTGATATTTTTTACTACCTTTCGCATCTAATTTTCCCTTTCAAGTATTATCGGCATACACGAATTTAGATAATACAAATACATCACAGTGCAAACTACCATTTATATGTTTTTACAATACAATGATATTTCTCACGCATTAGATTCCAGTAGTTTAAAAAAAAAAAAAAAAAAATTTAATTTGATGTAAGCAAACGGGTAAATCTATTTAGTCATTATGCGAAACTGAACTTCCAGAGTGTAGCAATGTTTAGTATATATTTGTAGTTCGTAATAAATTATAGATGTTTTTAGCGCGCTTATTTGTAACTCATCTGTCTGTATATTTAGACAATTGTAACAAATACTAGGTAATAATAAAACTCGATGTACAGTATTTCACCAACATGACAAAAAAAGAAATAAATTCATAATGTCTACAGTATTTTGCATTGTAATATTTTGTGTGCACACACACACACATTGGATCCCGTGAACTCTACACTCGATACTACGGTTACATTTAACAGCCACTTACCTGTAATGTACTTGACGTAGTAATAGATGTAAACTATACGCTACTCGTTTGACAAACAGTAAAAAAAAAAATGATTTACATCTCAAGTGAAACAGAAGCTTAATGGATTCTAATGGACATAGCGATCGTCGCGTATAACTTTCGTTGGCAAAATATTCCTGGGAAAGTAACAACCCAAAGCGATTCACGTGTAGGATCGGTTTCCCGCCCGTTCTGTTTAATTGAATTTCCATCTTAATTACAGTGGTAGTACTTAAAGATCTTATGGTAGTTTTAGAATACCGATTCCGTTTGTTCTCCCAATCGGGTATTCTCCGTGCGTCGATCTCGTACGATTCGCTTCGCTGGATGGCCGATGAGGTTTCACACACGGCCACGTGATATATTTCTCGAGACAGGAATGATTTCTTTTTTATTAATCAACCAATATAACGTGTTACACCGGTGTAATTGACGATCTAATAAGTTCACGCGGGAAGATTCCTTCTTATTTTTTTTTTATCCTATGTGCCACGATACAAATTTATTATGTTACACATCTTGGAATATCGTGCACTTGAATCACTCACGAGAATCACAAACATGCAATAATCTTCCTTACGTTCTCGGCGCGCGCTCGCTCGAGTCGATTGTTCCGCCGCTTTCGCCAAGGGAGGACACAATCCTTACGATTATCATGGACAACGTTTAATATTCGCTCGTCGATACTTATCCAGGACGAGCGCGGGTTTTAGGGGGGGGGGGGTTTAAATCGAGACGGCGATCGACATCGAACGACTCAATCGCGATTACAGCGACGAGATCCCGCGGCTTCGGCCAGAAATTTCCGACGATTGGACTTCGAGTCGATTGAAAGAGGCACAGTAAGTTTCCAGGATACTCCAATTCGGCAATCTGCGTTACAGTGTTAATTATAATTCGGGGTAAAAATTTACTGTGCCTCCCCGATTCAGGAGTATCCGATACAATTTGTTCAATGAGATGGGCGCCGTTGTTCTCTCGGCCGAGGCCGCGGAAACTCACCCGCTGTCTGTCCGTGATTGTAAGAAAACGACACTACCGATGTCCTAAATCGTAATGTTTAACGTTGAAGTGCGATTTTTTTCGTCGGATTGTGTGTGTGTGTGTGTGCGTGTGTGTGTTTTCTTCGCGATGTAACGTGCGCGAATAAACGCAGAGATTTCTTCGTGGGACACGCACAGTATGTGTTCCTGTGTTTACCCGTCGTGTGTAACAAGCTCCTCGCATGAGTCGGGGGGGGGCGGTGAGGGGGCGGGTGGGGGGAGGAAGAGAGGAATTTATCTTGTTTACAGGACTCGGCATGCTTCGTTCACATATATTACAACGTACGCATATAACAATAACATTAAACCCTTTAGGTGTGTGTCCTCGGACGTGGGAGAGAGAGCTCTATGGCGCGCTTACAATTATATCTGCGATACAACGGGACTTCGTACTTTGTGTGTCGTGCGAGGGTCGATACATTCGTGTGTACATGTGTATGCGAGACGCTATGTGTTCTTTTTTTTCTTCATTTTTTTTTCGGTTTGTGCGGATCGATCTCGCCTGGACTGAAGTGACTCCAAGCAAGCGAGTGACAAGCGAGTGAGAGAGTGAAGTTTTGCACGCGGTCGTTCTTGACTTTCGGCCACCGTGCAGCCCCCTCGGTACACAGCGAACACCGTACCACTTCCGGTCGCGATTTCGGAAACATCTGCTTGTCGCCGCTTGAAAAAACCGAGGAGGATACGTGTGCCTGCGCGCGCGCGCGTGCAGTAGATTCGAGATGAAATCTATAATTATACGTCAGTCAATTGTCCGCGACCGTTAAAAGTTAGTTGAAAGTCTCGTCTTGAAGACTGAAGAGAGCGGCGGCTTCCAAGAGGAAGCGAATCGATGATAGGAGACGAGACAAAACGTTGGAAGCAATCGTTGCTCGGTCGCAAAACAAAGGCGTTCGGCGTTCGCTAAATGTGACTCGAAAAGCATTCGATTCTAATTCCTTGTTTCAGTGCGCGATGCCGCGTCACTCATTGTCAGTCAAGCAACTCAGGAGAAGTTCTCGGAGATAGTCGTTTCTCATTCGTTACAGCTCTATTGTCACATGTAGATTCTACGATTGCGCTTTGTGTGTCAAGATATCGCCCGGTGCGTGGAAGCGCAAGAGCAATTTTTTTTCGAGCGACTTGGCGTGCAGAATTTATAATACGCTCAAAGTAATCATGGTAATCTCTCGATCGTTTCTTCTCGTAACTCGTCGCGCCCGGGGAAACGGAGCGAAGGATGCACCGGAACACCGATGCGTTTGTCGTCGATATTATTTTCACGCGAATTAAAATTTTACGCGAACCGCCTTATTAACGATATGATCAGCTTTATAAAAAAAGAAGAGAAAAAAATTACGATTACTTCATCCACGAAATTTCCTACACAGACGGATGTGCACGCTATCGAGAAGTTCAATAACCGTTTAACGCGCCCTAGCTCACTACGTTACGTCGCGAAGGTAGATACGCGATTTCTATCGCCGATCTCTACGTGTGATCGTTTCGTAAATACTGGCATTGTGTCCCGTTGAACCTGTGACGTAGAAACACGTACAGAGTTATCCCTAAATATACACGATGTCGCTCGCTCCCGGCTCAGTGCGGAAGCACTGTAATATCGGATGTTTACGCGCAAACAACGACAGTCTGCGCGCACTATCCGAATCATAGACGCTGCATAGATCGACGAAGCGGAGGAAATTTGGAAATTGCTCAAGAATAGGAGGAGGAGGGCTCGGAGAAACGACGGAGACCGACGATCGCTCCGTCCATCTATGCTACGTATATAATCTACTATTAATAAATAATTATTCTATACTCTCGCATTCGATGAAAAATATTCGAAGATTACACAGTTCTACAAAAAAAAAAATATCTATAACAGGCAAATAATCGAACTGCGAATTGTGCAATGGCACAAAATTTAATCATCAGAATTGAAAGTCTCTTTTTCGTTGAACTGTACGATGAAAATTGAACATACTCGAGAAATCAGCAAAAGAGTAGAAATCAAGTTCCGAGTATGATGTTACGTTCGCGATAATACTACACGATTATTGTTCGGCCGTTCAGATATCTTACGCACAGACACGCAATGACGATGGCATCGGTCGATCGAATTCCCGATCCTGTGTAAACACGGATCTGCGGACATACGTCCTCGGGCTCGCACGAGGCGCAAGAGGCGTAACGCGGAGAACTCGACGACGAGTCGCGGGTCGAGAGATTACGATGCTATACATGGAGATCGATTCTGTCCGATTTCGCCAATGTTGAATTGGAGTTTTCAAGAAAATCATAACATGTGCGTGGCGATGTGCCTATTGCTATAGTGACGAGAAGCCGGTTTTCTCCCCGGAAGGAGTGTAAGATTTTCAGCAGCTTCGCGCAAGTGTCTCTCGGCCGCCGAAACCGTTTCGAACGAAAAAGAATTTCCGCTCGCGACGACTCGATTTCATCCTTCCAGGATTAAAGAAGTCCGCCTAAATGATGGGTTCACTTGTGAATCGTGACGCAAATATAAATTCGTTATTCTCGCGGTTCGATATTCTCTACACCTTTACGCATAAGATTTTCGAAAAGTGCGGCGATTCGTTATAAAAAAACGCAGTTCAGTCGAATGACATTTACATCTGCATTTACGACGATTATCGCTTTTCGTTAGGACGCGTTTACATTCCATTTGCATTTCGTGGAGCCAGAAGAAAAGTTTGTTGCGCCTAGAGACAGATCGAGATTCTTCTTCGCAATCAGAGACGACTTATCGGAAAACGGAACTTCTTACAAATCGTGATCACGTCGGGAGAAGATAAGTTTATTCGTGCACACGCTCGTCTCTAGGTGCAACAAGCAGCTCCAGGCGTAGGATACATTCGCCGAATGTTGCGGGCGGATTGTCGAGAGCCCGTGAGATTCTCACTTCTTCTTACGCACGCGCGTGGTGCTGGTTGCACCGAAGTGAAAGGAAGATACACGACGAATGGGGAAGAACGAGGGGTGCGGCGATCGGACACGTCGCGGATTACATTTTCCCGAATTATTCGTCAGGGGCGAATTATCTTCTCCCCCCCTCCGTGCAATTTCCCGAATTCGAGATTGAACGCGACTGCTTTCAGCGAAAGGCGGACTCCTTGCCCGATCGCGCGCAGCTTCTCTCTCTCTCTTCGTTAACCACCGAGTACGGAACGGGGTGTACTTTCGTCGAGGCTTGCCGGCTTTCGCGCTGTGTGTGTGTCGTCTCTCGCTTGAGGGTAGAGCGTTTCCCGTCGCGTTTCAAAAAATACAACTATCGTCCGCACCGCTTTCTTCTCTCTCTCTCTTTTTTTTTTCTTTTTCTTTTTTTCTCTATGAGCACGTTCTGCGTGTCTTCGTCGTCTCCTCGTTCCATATCTGCGAGGTCGACGACACCGCAGCTCCTCGACGGGGGTGGGTCGACGGGTAGGTTCTCTACGCGCGGCGTCGCCGATCTCTTCTGAGCAATATACGTGTGAGAGGCCCCGACGTCGCGTCGCCAAGAGTAATCCGCCGGACGACCGAGCCGGGGCAGCGGAAACAGGAAATGTGCTGTCCGCGGTTTGCGCGCGACGCGCGACCGCTTCGCCCGATACTTCGTATCGCGAGCCCACGATCGCCCTCGGCTCGCACTCGCGTCTTCGTTAATCCTAATCCGGGTTCCGGGATTATTACGAGAAAGGAAAAACTCTTTGAACTCGCCTTTCTCGTACCGTCTGTATAATATTCCTTGTTCGCCAATAATTTGGTCGAATAACCACTTCGGAGAAACTTTTATATTTTTTTTTGAAAACCGCCCGGATAAGAATTAAGCCTAGCGATACCAAGGCCTCTTCCGTTTTGTATATTATCAGTGGTGGAGAGACGAGCGCGGGGGTTGTTCCTGAAGTCCACTGACGTTAAGCGTTAAACTTGAACTTAAAGTCGAAGAACGGTCGAGTTCAACCGGTCGACTCTTCAATTTGATAATTCGCAGCAAGCGCGTGTTCTCGCATTTCCTTCTTTGAAATTATGAGATGAATAGAAAAATACGGTAACTCAAAGATGAGCTTCCGAAGCACTGAACCCCGCACCGCTTGGTACCGCTAGGGATTGATAAGCCCGCCAGCTCATACCAGCGAGCCGTTGTATACACCCGGAAAGTTATCGGAATCGCTCGATACGCCTTAGAGATATACCTCCCGATATTTCACCGTGTCGAACATTCCGGCCAATTCCCACGTGTGTGTGTGTGTGTAGTGCAGCCTTAAGAAGAGATGACGCGCGACGCGTGTCGCGGTAACGCGTATCGTAACGGCGTCCCACGCGAAACAGCGACGAGTCGTGCGACTTGGCCGTTCGGCGAAGAGATCGAAACGATCGTGGTTATGCGTCGATGCGTCGCGCGTCATCTCACCCTTGTCTCAGCGGACCCCCGGCGCACCGTCCGACGTCAATTTCGCAACGACGGACGCGTCCGCGGCCCGATTGACTGCGCGTCGGCGAACAAGCTCGCTCGCCCGACGACGCGCGACCTACCTCTCTCGCGCAACGTAGATATAGTTATACTTATAAACTTTACGTCTTTTTCTTTTTTTTTTTAATTGTTAACAGGCCGTGGCTATACAGGGCCCACTACGCTTTCAGTTTCAGTCTGTGGCACGCGGTCTTCCGAGCAGGTCGTGTGTAAACGTGTGTAGGTAGGTTAGGTATGTGTGTGCGTAGAGTGTGTACGCAGTGTGTTACAAGTGTGTGTTTTGCGTTTCGCCATTCTTATCTTTTTACCCACCGTCGTATCTACCGAACGTCGCTAACATCCTCGTTGCGCCTTTACATGGTTCCTGGAATATTTATACTCGTTTCGGGCGCGGGCAGCAGAGGAATCTCTTCGTCGTCGCCTCCGATCCGGTCGTTGCCGAGCGAACGAGCGATCCACAATCGCGATCGGTTGGCGTTGAAAGCGATTTCAAGATCGCAGGCTGCGCAAAATCGCCTCGGCGTTTCTTCCAGGATCTGAGGATCGCATCTGGCGCGTCGTACACGCGATTCTGATACCGTCGCACGCTTTCCTCTCCTTCCTCATTTCTTTACCGCCATGTTGTCGTCGCCGCGAACCAGATAAATAGACCAGTACGCGAGATTGAAGAGAATGAACATGAGGGGGAAGGCAACGCGCGCAAAGATGTCGATCCTCGCGCTACCCTGGGCACGGCAGGTGAACATTCTGCGCTGCGCGTCGAGACAGCGGTTCCACGACGACGACGACGCCGACGTCGCCGTCGGCGCGGACGAGGGCGCCGCAGACGACGCCGGCCCCGCGATCGGCGGCGAGGGCGTCGCGGCACGCGACATGGTGCGCGACGGCGTGCCCAAGGGCGACGCCGAGGAGGCCGGCGACGGCCATCGCGACGGCGACGGCGAAGATCTCGCCGAGCTCCTGCGCGAGTGGTGTCGCACCGCTCTCGTCGGCGAGTACCGGCCGCCGACGCAGTCCTCGTCGTTCAGCGGCGAGAAGGACGGCGACGGCGAGCGTTCCGAGTGGTAGCGCTGATGGCGATGCGATTGGTGATGATGCTGCTGATGGTCCTGCTGGTACGTACGCGGCAGCGAGTGGTGATGCGATATCGGCTGATTGCCGGAGCGATGACGCTGCTGCTGATGATGAAAGTGGTGGTGAAGGTGATGATGGTGATTGTGATGATGGTGATTCGAGGAATGGTGGAGGGGATTCTGAGGAAAATTGTACGGCGGTTGTCGGTGACGAGGACGCGAACGTTGCGCCGGTCGTGTCTGTTGTTGAAACTGTTGCTGAGGATGGCCGCGAGCCACTTCCCTTGTTGATCCGAGCGCCTCCTCCTCGTGGCTTACTCGCCCTCCTCTTCCTCCCGAAACAGGTACGTGGACCAGTACGCGAGGTTGAAGAGAGCGAATACGATTGGGAAGAAGATCCGTGAGATGACGTCGATGCGCTTGGACCTCGTCGGGAACTTGGACAGCCACGACCTGCAGCAGTTTTTTTTCCGTGGTTGCATATGTATTTCGCACTGCCGCAATTTATCCATCGACATGGAATCCTCCGGGTGTCGGACCAGAGGCTTCTGAAAGAATTCGGGCGGTATTGATCCATTAGTTACTGGCACTTTGCTCTTCGTGTGCTTCTTAAGCGAAATCATTTCCGATTCTAATCGATGCAATTTCGATCCTCCGCTTTCTCACGCCAAACGACAAAAGCTGATTCCGCTTCTAATTCTAATGTCATTGCTAGATTCAACGCGAGAGAATTGTCTATAAATTTTACATGTTGGAAAGTTCAGGAATAAGTCTGATTCAGTCGAGATTCTCTCTCTCTCTCTCTCTCTCTCTCTCTCTCTAATTAATAGAAACTCGACATTTTCAATTACAGTTCCATGAACGAATATATCGAATAATCCGGATGAAAGGAGAATGTTATCAAAACGAAAGGCTCTCCCTTGGAAAAGCTTGGCGGTTATCTCGAAAGGCATCTGAAGCGCGCTCCGCAGGCGCTCGAGGAACGCCGGTGTCTCGGGATACTGACCATGGCGAAGTTGGCGGATCCGTCCGGCTCGAGCAGCTCCGAGGTTGGGTCGATCGACGACGAATGCTCCATCTCACTCGGCGGAAACTGCTTCTTCAAGTTGTCGCTGTGCATGTCGCTGCGCGACGCGTAGTTGACCAGCGCGAACTCGAGTAGAGCGCCAAATACAAAGGTCAGACAGACCCCCGTCCAGACGTCGATAGCTTTCGTGTAGGAGACCGGTGGCAGTGAGGCGTTTATCCCCGATGTCTGCGTGGCCATCGTCAGCAGTGTCGTAACGCCTGAACCGGAGAAGATGGATCTAGCTTTGCTGATTCTTGTGATAAGGAGTGGAGGAACGACGGAGAGAAATACGACGAAGCGGACGGAGAAATCCGTGAAATTAAACGTAAATAAAGTTTTCTTTCTCTTCGGAATCTTCTATTCTGAACATTTTTCTCCTCTTCACGATCATTAATGGTTATGTCAACTACTCTCTTCAATTCTTCGAATGATTTAACTTTAAATTGTCTTGGATTCTCCACTCGATTTTTCCACGTTCAAGATTTATCCAAGATGAATCCAATCGAGATATGTAATTCAATCAAATCTTTAAGTAGCAATATTGATTCTTTACTCTATTTCCGTGCGCAAGACATTCTTGAAAATCTGCTTTATTATATCCTAATTCTCGTTGTTATTATATTTTACGACTAATATTGCGCGCAACATTTTTGCGACTCTACTCTCACTTATCGCCAATTGTTTCCACAAATATTGAAATAAAAGATTAAAAATTCTGCATTGTGTTCAGACGAGTTACAACAATTTGTACCTAGTGACACCCGGGCAGGCACGGCGCTCTGATCCAGCCAGAAGGACACCCAGGACACGATAACGAGCATGCAGCACGGGATGTAGATTTGGATGAGATAGTAACTGAATTCCCTCTTGAACAGCAGGTCCACTTTCAAGCAACTGTACTCCCCTGTTTTGTTTTTCATTCAGAATCATCAGATTATGCGAGTTCACCGAGTTCTCTTGCTGTTTCCCGACGAAGCGCTCTCTCTCTCTCTCTCTCTCTCTACTCACCAGTGTTGGTTTTGCTGTTACAGTAATCCGTGAGGAATTTCTCCAGGGTGAACCTGGGCAGGTGCAGGTTCTTGACTACTTGTACGGGGTCGCCTTCCTTCCAGAGAAAGACCAAATCGTTCGTCGTCCATCCGTCTATCGGGACGGACCAAGATAATCATTACTTAGCGAATACATTATTTTCGTAAAACATCCAAGACTCTTGCGAAACTAAAATTACGAGATAATCGAGATAAACTAGAGCGAGCCGAGTTTACTTACAACTTGCCATACGAAGAGAGCAAACTTGTCGATCCAGGGGATACAGTTTCAAATTCATAGGACAGGAGAGCGTCAAAGATATCCTGCGCCAGGGGAAAAAACACAGTAAAGGTTTATACAAGGCCGACGGAGAAAAAACCATTCGCAGTACACGCGAACGCGCGTGTTTGATCGTCGCACACACGCACGGGGTGCGCGCAGAATAGATCTCTGATATATGAAATTGATTATATGGGGATGTAAAATGCACGACGGATAATGTATTCTCGCCCACATCGACGCGGCCGCGATTTTAATGTACAACCGAACAAATTGATTCTCTCACGCGAGGTTCGCAAAAAACAGAAATGGCATTTCATCGATCTCTTTCATAAAAATTGACAGCGATCTCGCTGATTGAATGAACGTCGCGTTCGGATACGTCGTCGCGCGATACTCACCGTATGCTATAAAGAACGGAGCCGTTCGGGAAGATTCGTATGTATACGTTGGGCATAATGATGTTGTGGAAGTGACCCTCCTTCTCGTTCGAGAAGAACAGATCCGGCATCCAGACGCGATTAGCTTCCGTCAGGGTTAAATATTTAAGCCGACCTGCAACGTTCAAGTGGACACGCGGGTGTCCCCGTATGAAAAATCGGCGTGCGTTAACGAAATCGTTATCGCGCTCGTTAACGCGCTCATTCAGCAAACAGAAAGCGCGGGGTGAGCGGCAATTTGCGATAAAAATAGTCACTTTCAAATTTGCGTAACGACTGGCGCATGAATAAAATGTTACGACCCTTTACAGCGTGATAATTGCAGTATGATAAAAAAAATATATGTGTAGAAAAGCCTTTGTGCGAAATTTTCGCACGCATCTCCCGCACAGATATTGGATTATACGATTACCCACACAAAAAACACTTTGACATTTATCCGAAATAAAAGAAGAATGTGAACGAGCACGAACTTTTGAATTTTTTCATGTTGCACATTTGCAAATATATTCCGTATTTAAGACTATTACGTTACTGCGGCTGAAATAGTATCGCAATTTCGTTGCATGCGCATCGCATGGCCGCTTTTGTCCCACATTTTATCGCGCATGTGACCTTTATTAACGTTAAAAACAGCACTGGGAGCATCGGAATTCAAATGAAGCATAAATATAAAATACTGCTGCAGAATTTACGTACCTCCGAAGTCGTTAAACCGTAGCCTCTCGTCCAACCATTGTTCCCGAAATGTTAATTGTACAGAGTATTCCTGGAGAGAAGAAGAAATAATTCCGATTAAACAAGCGTCTTGCGCGTCTTGCGCGTCGTGCGAAGGAGTAATTTCTTTTTCTTCGTAACATCGCCTTCCGAGGGAGCGATAGTCTCCGTAATTATAAAGTTTTGTAAAGTAAAGGAAGAACCAACGTGCGAAACGGAACGAAAAGCAACGAAAGTCTAAATCCTGGATATTCTCGAATCAGATAGCGTTTGTAACGGCAGTCTAAGTAACAAAGTCTTTGTAACGAACGCAGAAAGTAGCTTTTTTATGCAAATGGTAGCTTCGCATTTAACGGAGAGATAATTACAATTGTATTTTTAATCGAATAATCATAGCTCTGAGAAACGAATTCCGCTATCCGCAATAATATCCCGACGCGCGATTAAAAATGTAATATCCGCGTAAAAAAAAAGAATTGAATAAAAGAATTTATTCGTTGTATATAATTTTCTTTTCTCTCTACGGCTCGACAAAAATCCCGCATCTATGAAAAGCGATTATTCACGGATTTCGCGGCAAAGAGAATTTCTTTTTCGTTATTATTATATAATATTACCGTCACCTAGGACGTGCAATGCCAGATTGATCGTCCGTATGTATTCTTACCATAAAACAAAATTACAGATAATTGTCTATTTTAAATATAAATAAAGAAGTATTTATGAATCAAATGTTCTGACATCGTTTTTGCAATTGACACGACTACAGCTGTCTGAAATTTTCAAAGTTATTACCGAAACAGTAGCTAGTGTTAATAATACGAGTCATATAATCGTCATATAATTACAGCAGGCTATAAAAATCAAATTACTCAGAAACATTTGTTTTACATTTAAATGGTGACGTGATTTTAATCCAACGACACTAACGAGGTCAGTAACATTCGTGACCGTTCATCCACATCTGCTGGATCGATCTCCCTCAGAGTGATCGCGTTACGTCGGTAAGTTAATTCGTCACGGATCGAGCCATACATATACGTAGGAGGACCTCATCTTGTCGACTTGCGCCTGGCCCGACGTGTACGCATCAATCCGTGACGATCATCCATCAACCGGTTGTGTGATGTGTCGAGTTACAGAACAGAAGACCGGAAATGTTATCGCAGCGAGCGGGAAGAGCGTCCCGGGAAGACGGGATCCTCGGCGGGACGCGCGCGTTCGGGGACGCTCTTCCGTCAGAAAGAAAAAAAAAAATAAATAGAAAGAAAAAAGCGCACATGCGACTCGCGAAGGCATACACAAGCATCGGCGAAGCGGCTGAAACGTCAACGGCTGATGTCTACCGTTCCAATAACACCCGCTAACAGCCAAAAAGGGGGGGGGGCGAAGGGGTGAAGTAAAAGAGCCATGCAAAAGCGAACATCGAGGACCTACCGGATGTAATCAGATTCATGTGCCAGAAGTGTGTGTCTCGGGCACTTTATATGCAATATCTCTGTTTTAGCGGTAAAGAGAACGCATGCAGTTTGGCTCACGGTGTCTCTCCCTCGTGTTCTCCCCCACAGCTCGCCTGCGCGGCCACCGTTCCTGCGGCCGCCGAAGTCCCGTGCCCTGTGTTTCCTATTTCAGAGGGGTGGGGGAGGTAAAGGGGAGTGCAGTTTTCCGCAATATTTTTGTGCTTTGTATTTTTTTTTTCCGTTATTTTATTTCCTTTCCTTTCTCTTCGTTCTCTCTTTCTGACCTACCGACCGTCAATTTCGTCGGCCTATCCTCCGCGCGCTCTCGGTGCAGCAGTGCAATTTTCGCTACGGTGTTTACTAACGTGAAAAAACGTCAGGCTCTCCGTGCCGTTGGCCCTTTCTCTCTTTTTTTTTTTCGAAACTTCTTCTCTTTGTCGGCTCTGTGGTATTAGTTCTCGCTGTAAAGTGTGTGAGAGCTCAGACTCAGCGTGCTTCTGCGCTCTTCTTCGCTTCGGGTTTTTTTTTCCCCTTCCTAACTTCGTCCGATAGACGTGTGCGGTTTTGTTTCGTCATTAACTTTTTTTAGCGACTCGGCCGGTACCCCATTCGCATTCGCACGCATCTAATATCGGCGGAAAGTTTCTGAAAAATTGAGGAACATGCCGCCAAACGAGAATTCACCGGTCCGCCTCCTTTTCGTTCGTTCTCACACAACGCGTTTTTTTTTTTTTCCATTATTTTTTCTACTGATATATCACTTACAGAAAAATACGCTAAACACGTTTTGCGATGCCCGTTTGTACTTCAAGGTACTTATCCTTCCCGTGTAACACGACGAGCTATCCTTGGGACAGGTATTGTGTGCAGTGCTACCGCGATTGCGACGTACGTTCGCGATTTTTTTCACATCTTTTCAAGGAAAAGCATCGCTCTTGTGCGCATGAAAAAACAGCGCATGGAACGACGTTCATGGATAATTCGTCTATCGTGCGTCGTCGGAAATATGCGAACGGGAAATCGAGTTGTTCTTTCGAATATATGTGGAACTTTACGTATCGGTGGAATAAATCGCTGTCACAACGGGGAGACACATTGTTTTTGACTCCCGATTTTATTAAATCACGAACGCCCTGACTGCCGTGCGTCATCGCAGAATCGACTAGATTAATCTCTTGCGGTGACATTTTCGCAGAAACCTGAATCGTCTTTTTTTTTAACAAAAAAAAAACTATCAATCGAATAGTGGATCACGTAGAACAGAATAAACGTGTATATTTTTGACAGCCCACCACAAGCGTTCCTTTCTAAAATAATATTTTCATTATTTTATCGTACGTGGAGCAATTGAGGATTTTGCATCATCGAATTGAACTACGATGACAACGGTGAAATGAAAATAACAGTGACGACAGACATCGGGCGGACCTTATAAAAATCCTCACCACAAATCCCCAGTTTCACGCTATGTAAGAACAAGTGCAAAGCATAAAAAAAAATCATAGTCTTATATAAAAAAGGAAACAAAATAAAACAACCGCAGTGCAGTTCTCTCGAATTTACGTCGAACGATCCTCGCAGCACCCATAAGAATCCGATATTACGGCGAGACACGCAACAAATTCCTGCTTTTCGTCCTACCGGAAGCTGTTACGCGCGTAACAGCTGGCTCGTAATCTTTCATTGGCCCTTACCTTTAGCGAACAATAGCCACCGGGCTCTCTCGCGGACGAAACTCTCGAGTTACGCAATACGACAGCAATACGTTTGCCGTTTAGCCGGCCATTCTGCGAAACGAGTGCCTTTTTCTTCATTTTTTTTTTTACGTCGACCGTCGCGGAAATGGCGATAGTTACTGGCCCTCAGGGGGGAGATCGTGCGAGATATTTAAATGTGTCCGGAGAGTACAGACCGAAGTGGAGCACAGAAACGCGCAACTCGATTACGCGAAGCGACGAAAGGCTAATTGGTCGAGCTGAGTCTCAATCCCCCTCGCGCGAAATGGATCGTTTTAGCCAAGGAAGAAGTACAATACCGTTGCTGAACGTTGTCCCGGCAATCGTTCCGATGGCAATGGGATAGTGGGATGTGTCGCGAAAATTACGCTCGCAAACCCTCTATGGACCATATCACTCGATCTCTTTAACACGCTCAAAATCCAAGGGCGAAAGAGCAATGTTAACACTTGTTTCAATCGCCGCCAGAACATCTTTCTCTGTCGTAATTATAATATATACGATTGCAAATTGGCACAGTCATGAATATGTTAAAAATGGATGACAAAACGAGAAGGCCAAATGTATGATTGCTGGATGAATGGGATGGCAAGGATAACTGGAATTTAAGTCAAAAAGTCTCTACTGCAATTTTACTTCCCTTGATTGTTAAAAAAGAAGAAAACAGGATTATTCTCGCCGCTAATAAAACTTTCTTCGGGATGCAAATTTTCGAATCCGATTCACCCGTCGTTGTTGCTTGTTTCGGTGTTTTTATCAGGTCGTATAGAGGGTTTTATCAAAAATATTCGAGACCAATCCTGCCAATCAGTTTTCGCTCGGTAATTTGTATCTCTCACCGATGAGCAGCCTCACGTGTTGAATTTGGTTTTTCGCCTGAGCGACGCAAGTGCGTTCCCCTCGTGCGCTCTTTACGGAGAACGGGTTATGAATTTTCGCTTCAACGCGTTCGGATTGTTTCGCCGTTATCGTCACATCACCGACACACATTCACTCGCATGAAGCTCCAACAGACGCATCATTCCCACGCATCTCCCATACAAGTATTTCCCGCCCATCCCTTCGGATCCGCTCCTAATGCGACGGCACATTCGTCCAGTTAGCAAACATTCGTTAAAATAAGCGATACTGAACGTGCTCGTATTTATGAGAACGTGATACAGAATGAAAGAGATGAAGAGGAAACAGACAGAAAGATAGATAGAGAAAGAGAGAGAGAGAGAGAGAGAGAGAGAAACAGAGAGAGAGAGAGAAACAGAGAAGCGGGAAAAAGAGACGAAGAAGACAGAAGGGATTTCTGCAGGGCCTAAAATTGTACGACTGACTTCACTCGCGGTACTTTATGCGATTATGATGAACATATATTTATCCCGTGATTTTCCTTTCGATTTAATGATCGCGAGAGCGCATGATGTCCCGATAGCGAAGTAGGAAGAAGGGAAATATGCATGTGTGAACAAGTGTTGCTCTTTTTTTTATTTTGCTCCGTGCGACGCTGACGCAAGCGTGACGAGTCTCTGATTCGTCGATGCAGAATGCCAATTATCCGGCGAGTTCCGCGTGACGGCTGGGGAAATAGGAAAATTGATGATCGAGTTGCGATTTTTCGAGAAGAACTCGACGGAGTGTCGTCGTCCGTGACAAGCGGTTCCTCCCGAAACTATGCCCGACAGGTATCAAACAAGTATGAAATTGACAGAGGAGTGAGAATGGTTGGACCCTTATCGTGCCGCGCGATAAACCGGAAAATCACGCGGTATTCAACCGTTCATATTTCATTCGTCCGAGATTGCGAGATAAAAATCTCCCCCCAAGACAAACGGTGTTTTGGGAGGGGGAAAAAAAACCGTAAAAGA